CACAGTGAGCTCAGGACCAACATGGACTACAAGACCCAGACTCAAAAAAACAAAAAGGAAGAAAAGAAAAGAAAGAAAGCAGGCAAAATCTATGTGCTAATAATGGGGCAAAAGAACTCAAGAAAACCAATTTTAAAAAAACAGCAACAATGCCAAGCATGCCTGAGGTCCTGGGTTCTACACCCAACACCACAGGAAGAAAGAAAAGAATTTTTTTTTACAGACAGGGTCTCACTATGTAGCCCAGGCTGGCATTGAACTCAGTACGGAGCCATCTGGAGCCCAGGGGGATCCTCCTGCCTCAGGGTTTGAGGAGCCCAGGCATGCAGCACCACATCCGCTGAGGGAACAGTTAACAGCACCATAAGGACAGGTATGAAGGAGATCAGTGCTTTGTTTGGGGTAGGGATGGTAATCTAAATAAATATATTTTGCTTGTTTATGCATAAGTTACAAAGATAAAAATAGCAATAATTATTTTTCTAAAACAAAATAATTTGGATGGAAAATGGTTGGAGAATATTACCATATTTAATCTACTTAATTCTGTTTCAATTGACCTTCAAACTAGAAATATAAACAGAATTTAATTTGAAAACTTGCTACTTGTTATGACTATACTGAGTTTTTATTCCAACTATGTACTAAATTAAAAACTGAACAGTTCATTCTATTGTCTCTGATGCATCAAATTACACAAAATGAAGACCTTGTTAATAAAGCTGTATTAACAAAATTCAAACCAAGATTTGTACATATACAGAATTTTTAAAAAATAAGACACAGAACTGAAATCCTATTACTTTGTACAAAAACTGCATGTTCCACAATTAAATTCTTAAACCACACAAAAATCACCATTCTTCAAAGAAATGATACATACTGCCCTTTAAAATGCTTTATTATTCTTCATATCACTATTTTGCCATTCTATTAACAAAGACAGAAATAAGAATCTAGTGATAACATATAAACTGAAAACACTGTCCTATAATGGTGTGCTAAGAAGGCTGAGATTCTGCAGCAAACATGTGTCTGAGTAACTGAAGACAAGGAGCGGAAAAGGGTCTGAACAAAGGGTGAGGAGTGGGGAGAAACAAGAAGCAAATTATAACATGCCCAGGCACAAATTCCCTGTCATAAATATGATCATTATGCATACCTAAAATGTACCAATAAACTTCAGTAATCTAAAAAAGTAACTGAAGACAAAAAAATAATAAAAACGGAAAGAGGACATAGGATTCTCACATTTAAAATTCCAAATATCAGAATTGCTTTACCAAAAGAATAAACAGTGAATTAAAAAGTTGTTGTATAAAGCAAATTATAAGAACATTCTGTGTCTTTCTTATGAAAAATTACATGAAAAGTTGTTTTACAGAACTGTTTCAGTTCTAAGAACAGTTCTAAGATCACACACAGGCAAATACAGTCCTCTCTCAGTATCGTATGGGAATCAAGTCCAGACTCAACACAAGCCACCACATCACCTTCCCAATGCATCCCAAGTAACCAAGATCAGCAGATGCTCAAGTCCTTTTGAAAAACAGTATAGCACATGCATACAATCTATATCCATCCTTTCTCTACTTTATATCAGCTCAATTATTTTAAACACACAATGTTACATTTGGTACTCTTTAGGTGATGACAAAATAAAAACGTTTCATACAGACATGTTTTTCCTCAAATATCTCCAATATAGAGTTGGATGCAGAGCCTGTAGACATGCAGAACCAATTGTATTTCTCAGCAGCACTGATTTTGATGAATAGCATGATATTATCTAAGGCATTTTTTCTTAAAAAAAAAAAAAAACTAAACTTTAAATTTTGAAAGTACATGCTGTCAAATTAATTTTTAAAAGTAATTTAGTTTTTGCTCACCTTTTATAACGTATTTTTAAAATAAAAGTGTTAAAAGTACCTTTATCTCAGTGGTTATAAAATTCCTAAGCCAAAACAGACAACAACATTCAATAACACTCTCCTGCAAAGCAAGTGCAACAGCCAAGTATTTATAAAAAGAGAATGCCAACTTTGTATCTACTCAAATGAGAAAGATATGAAGTCAACAGCACAGGAATTACTGCTGATAATATATCCAAAATTAACAAAGTTAACAAATTAAATGGATTCGGGCAGAAACAGGTAAAACAAAAATTTACATCATCGAGGGTGTGAGATTATGCTAAAAAAGTTAAAACACGGTTTCATATATTGTCATATATCTTTTACAATTATAACATAAACACCCCTTTCCTGTACAAATAATATTTTCTGTAAACAAGATCGTGATGCTTCTTTACAGCAACGATTATTTGAATGCCCTAAACCTGGCATAGAACAGTGGTTATTGGTCGCTTTTAAACTAATATTCCACCAAAATACAACTGCTTGGATGCTCTGTGCAATTTCCATGTACCTTACTTATTCTCTAATCTACACTATAAACTGAACACACAATAAATACAAAGAGAAAAAACTGGCTCCCAGAATAGGCTTCTAAATCCAGGTATACCACTCTTTGAGGCTTCTCAGGAAATGATCAATGATGTTGTAATGTCAAAAACCTCTAAAAAGTTTTAAATGCTTATGAGCACACAATCAAGTATAGGACCATGTGATATACATGCTCAAAACATGTTTACATTCTGATAAGGAAAATAGAGTTTTATGATTAATTAACATATTTGCATTAATTAGAACCTTCAATGAGGTTTGCTGAAAATGTTAACCACTGCCACACACAGATATTCAAAACTGTAAATAAATAAATAATAAAGAGGGAAAGAGAAGTAAATTAAGAGACGGATTCAATAAATCATAAATAAACAAGAGATAAAGAACACACCATATGTAATTTATATACAAAGAAATAAAGAATCCCACCAAAAGCACTAGTAAGAAAAAAGAACATTTTAAGAAAATGCCAATATACAGTATACATGTCAAATCCTAACAGCAAGTACACTTGCTTTCAAATGTTACGATATGCGCAATATCCCAGTAAAACCAAACAGTACATTCTAATAACAATAATACTTTCTGTAGGGCTGATATTAAAAGCACAAATGATAAAAGAAAAGGGGAAATGAAGCATAAACAGAAGTGATGCCAGTGAGAGATTTTAAGTAAAGAAGAAAAGATAATGAGTAGAAAAAAATGCAAGATACTGGATAGTCTACAGAAAAAGAACAACTGCAAGATAAAATGAAAGATCAACACAGTATTTGCCAGTTGTAGCACACACTTGTAATACCAGCACTCAGGAGGCTGAAGCAGGAAGATCACAAGTTCAAGGCCAGCCTAAGCTTATACAACAAAACACTCTCTCCAAAAATACAAAAAAAAAAAAAAAAATTAAAGGTAACAAATATTAGATTTTTTTTTTTTTAATCAGTACCGGGGATCGAACTGCAACTCACAACTGCACACTTGCAAGGCAGGTGCTTATGCCGCTGAGCTAAATCCCCAGTCCCTAGAAAATAATTTTTGAAAATATTTGGAGATTAAGGGCTTCTTGAAGAAGATGAAAAATCAAGAAGATCTAAGAAATAGATTGCCAAATTTAGCTACAAGAAAACTGAACTTTTAGGGCAACACCACACAAAAAATTAAGTAAGCAAAAAAGTATTTATAAATCCACAGAATAAAACTGATGCTAATTGGCATTTATTGGATGCTTCCTATACATCCAGCACGTTTCTAAAGGCTTTTTGTACAGTGTTTCATTAAATTCATGTCACAAACCCTTAATTTATAATCTTAAATAGCAGGTGAGTAAACCCTAGCAAGAAAAACGTTAAGCACCTTGGAAAACATCCTGAAATCAATAAGCAGCTGAGGAAGGGAAATACCCTAGTCCTCTACTCTAGCAGCAGAACTCACGGGCCACCTGCACATCAAAGTACTTTGCCCGGTGTAGGCCAGGAAGGAAAGCACCGTGAGTCCTGAGAGACAGAAATGAGCTCTCTAGATAGAAAATGACTTTATTTTGTAGGCAGTTTGGTGGTAACCAGTACCATCCACAATCTTAACCTTAAATTTAAAAATCTTAACCTTAATCTTAAATTCTACTTCTAGTTATGCTGAAGAAATATCCATATAACCAAATAATGAAACAATGTTAATAATAGCCAAATGCAAAAGCAATCTAAAAGTCTATCAATAATAAAATAATATATGGTAGATCTTTACTGTCAATATCATGCAAAAAATAAGGTAGAAAATTCTATGGGATGACTGGAAATACCTTTAAACCATATTATTAAGAGAAAAACACAACACTCCCAGAATATTTTGTATAATCAATTTGTGTCAAAACCACAAAAATAACAATATATGTTTTCAATAAATAAATAAATATATATACACACACACACACACACACACACACACACAATTTTAATAAGAATGCACTGTTTACATTCAGGAAGAATAGGAGGAGATCTAAAAAATGATTTTCACTAAATATGATTCTTAACATACTTATAGTTTTGTAAACAGTACGGCTGGACATGGTGGTACACCCTTATAATCCTGTCACTCAGGAGGCTGAGGCAGGAAAATGGCAAGTTTGAGGCCAGCCTGAACTATATAGCAAGCTCAAGATCTGCTCAGTTTCAAAAAACGATGATGATGACATCAACCAATGGCCATGAATCAAAAAAAGTATCAGAAACAAGGACACAACATATTTTAAGTTTCCACTACTGAGAATATTACTAAACAGGAAAAACTTAGAATTATGTCAATAGTGCTATATCTTTTTCAGTTATTTTTGATAAACTCAAGGCAACTGGGCAGCAAACTGTCATTCATTTTCTTCTCACAAGCTGAATTATGATACATGCATTAGAAAAAAAAATAACTGAGTACAGGGGCATGTGCTTATAATTCTGCCAACTCAGGAGACTCAGGCAGGAAGATAATGATTTCAAGCCTGGAAAGCTTTAGCAAGACCCAGTCTCAAAAAAAAAAAAAAGTAAACATTACCTTTCTTGAAGCATGAATGTCAAAAAATGGCTTATTTCTGACACTAAATGGTTCCTGTGTTTTGTCAATGAGCCCACTCTTGATTTTTTCATGTCGAGGATTTATAATTTCTCGTTCTATACACTGCAGACGAATATTAAAATCACAATCTCCAACAGGCTGGGCCTGAATTATAAAGAGAACTTTTTAATTTCAACAACCAAAACTATTTTATCAACATAATTAAGGCTACCATTTTTATAGAGTGGCATGCCAGCCCAGATAACCAGTTTGACTAGTGATATACGTGTCTAATAAAAATAGTTATTTTAAAGCCATTATGCCTTCATAAAACAGTATAAGTTAGTGAAATAAATCTACTATAATTTGATCCAAATATTTCACATTTGAATTAAAAAATTAATATACTGACTAGTCCTATTTATTATTTATACAGAATTCATTAAAACATCTGTATGCTATCCATATAATTCAGGAGAATAAATGAGTAAATGACACATCAAAACAACCGACAGTCATCTAACACTTTAAAGTGTCAAGACGGTATTTCTTAAGTACATTTCACCTCTAAAGACTAATACCAAAACTTTATTGTATGTTCAAAGTTATGTACTTATTAGAAAGGTAAAGTTGTCTTCTCGCCCAGTAAACTTCACTATGAGTGGCCTTAAAACACATACAATTTCGAGCCATAAAATAAAAACTGACAAGATGAGAGAAGAAACTTCCATTGGATTTCCAATAGAAACAAAGCCATCCTCACCCCTTAGGTCTACTTACAAGCCAATGAATATTATTACAGAATCTGTGAAAAGATTAGCCATTTCTGGAAAGCATTATTTTTCAGGATATAGTAATCACAAACATAAAGTGAAAATTTAATGTTTTCTAATCTTGAAGTTCTTTCTTTCTTCCTTCCTTGCTTGCTTTCTTTCCTTCTTTTTTTTGGTTTTTGGAGACAGGATCTCACTGTGTAATCCAAGCTGGCCTTGAACTCAGTATGTAGCCTCGGTGGCCTAGGTTGGCCTCAGACTCACAGTGACCCTCCTGCCTTAGTCTCCCTCAAACTTGCAGCAATCCTCCCTCAGTCTCCCAAGTACTAGGATTACAGGCATGTGCTCTGAGGTTCTTAAATTTGAAACTCTATGTTCGAAATACACAAATTCAACTGAAAAACTGAGTTATATACATTGAAAATTTTCAGGAAAAAAATGTCATAAACTATCTTGGATTATAGCAATCCTGAAGCTTTCATGCTGCAATTTATTAAAGCAGACCTCCCAAAAAAGAGCATTAGATACTTTGCCATAAATGTTCAAAATTTTAAAACTTAAATACTTTCATTTCTAAAATTCTTAATGTTTTTATTCTGACTTGATTAAATGATATGATTTGAGTAACATACATAAAGAGGAATGACTTACTACTGAGTTTCTTTTATTTACAAAAGCTATGTTGTACTTCCTAAGTAATTTAGACATTCCTATTATAATTAAACATGAAAAGGAAGGCACATTTGTGTCTTCAAGTTATACACTCAATATCTCATAATTATTTCTCTTTGGAGAGTTTTTTTAATTCATTTTTTAAGAAATAAAATTGGCCTTTTATTTTTAAATCAACTACAGGATAACTAAAAACTAAATAATTTTTTTAAAAAGTAATTTCCATTTTACATAATGCTGTCTCATTTTATTAGTTAAACTGTTGTTCTTTACTCAAGGTAAAGAAACCTTAAGACAAATACATATGAAATATATTAGGCAATTCAAGAAAAAAGGAGATATAAAAGTATTAATAAATAATATGTTCAATGAGTATATTATATACATACATACAACCTGAATAACAATTTGTTTCCTACTATCTGAGGCAGTAACAAATACACTTTGTTGAAAATACATCTATTATTCCAGTGACAATTTTTATTTTATAAATTAATAATTTTCTGCATTATAAACCGAGTATGACAGTGTTCACCTATAATTCTAGCACTCGGCAGCCTAAGGTAGGAAGACAGCAAATTCAAGATCAGCCTAGGCTATGAAGCAAGTTTAAGGCTAGCCTCAATTACAAAGCAGGACTCATCTCTTTAAAAAAAAAAAATGAAGTGTACTTACATTGAATTTAATTATGTCATATATCAAATATCTAGGAACCGCCTGTCCATTTACTCTGTCAATAATCATTTCCTTGGAAGAGAATAAGAAAATAAGGTTAGTTTTTTCAAATTTTAACACCAATTTATATTTAATTGAAATATATCATATACACAGAAAGCACACAAATCATACACACGTTGTTGGAATTTCAAACTGAAGATACGTGTACCAAGACCAATCAACGAATTGTTAGCACCCAAAAAATTCTCATTCTGAACTTGTACTTATCATGATTGAAAAACAATCATGATAACATCTCTTATTTTTATATATAAACTATATTTTGTTTAATGTCTGAATTACTAGATAACACTTAAGGGTAAACATATAACAAATTTTAATTTCTAAAAAGCTGGGTCATTTTTATAAACAGTTTTCCTGAATGAATATTGCCTTAAATTTTGTTTCAAGCTAATTACATGTTAGTCAGACCATACAACTGCAAATGGCACACTTATTATAGATTTGATTCCAGTGTATTGGGTTTTTTTTTTTTTTTGGTTTCAAAAACAGATTTCTGCAAATCTATCACAACCAATTAAAAAGTCAAAATAAATTGTACACTCTTAACAAGAACAGATAAAAACACTAAAAGATAATGACAGATATATAAATTGTTGAATTTTACAAAATTTTTAATTCTTGTAAGGTTTTGGTTTGTGTTCAAGATAAACGTTTACTTATAGTTATCATCTTTAACACAAAACATGACATCAATTAAATTACACTTATTTTAAATAAAAGTATTAAGAGTATTTTTTCTTTCCTCCTAGTCAACCAGGCAGGTTTCTTGCTATCCCATTTCAGAAAATTCACACACAGGATGAGGATATAACCCATCAGTAGAGCACTTGGATAATCCCCAGCACCACCAAAAGTACATTACGGTAGAAAGTCCACACAATGTAGCTCAGCACTTGCCTAGATGTAAAAGAGTCTACAGTCTACTCACAGTTCAAAAAAATAAAATTATGAAAAACACTGATTTAAGCTAGGCTTGATGGCACATGCCTGTAATCTCAGCACTCCAAGAAATCAAAGAGGGTGAATTCCAAGTTGTATCACCACCTAAGCAACTGACTTGACAAGACCCTCCATCAAAAGAGAAAAATTAATGAAAAGGGCTGCAGCTGGAGCTCAGTGCAAAACTCCTGGTTCAAACAGTTCAGTGGGAGGGGGATGGGGGAGGCCTGATTTGAGAAAAATACACTTTGTTACTACAAAAAAATATTATCAATTAATTTCTTTACTAAATGTGTTCAAGATAAACATTTACTTAGTTATCTTTAACCCAAAATATGACATAAATTAAATTACACTTATTTTAAATTGTTTATTGAAATATTTTTATTTAAATGATTTTATCTGTGTACTTTATGCAGAAACAAGGTGGTATACCAGTAACAAATCTGAATTCATTATTCTTTTCAAAAGAATTTCTCTCCAAATGCCTGACAAAATAAGCAAAACTATGCTTTAAACATTATTTTCAAAAGCCGAAAAGAAAATGCATAATCAGCAAATAAAACAAGTACAAAGAAATAAACATGTAGTCTTTAAACTGATAGCCAAGAAACTACCAAGAGTACAGTGAAGGAAACACAAGTGGTTTCAGCTCTAGGGCCATTCAATCTCTACAAGTCCTACTTGTAAAATGACAAATTTCTGATAATTTTCACTATTACAACCAAATATAAATAGGCGGACTCTGGCTATCCTTGCCATCACCTGTCCCTCTCCTGACTAAAGAGTAATAAAAATAGTTAAACATATTTCTGTATGAAGTAAAGGCTCTGGGAATCCCAACACAGTAGAGAAATAATGAATTATTTACCAAATAAGTGAAGAAAATATTCACCAAAAGTTCTTCAAAAAGAACAGAGCATATGGATTCCAATGAAGAGGGCCCACAAATAGTGGGAATTACTGAGTTAATCTCAATGATCCCAACACCACAATTGCTTTTATCTACAACTGTCACAACTGTGCTAGGCTAAAAATAAAAAATAAACCAGTAAACATAAAATGCAGCATGCAACTTAAAATTTAGTCAAGAAAACTGGAACTGTGATATACTACTGGTGAATTTATAAAATGGTAGATAACTTACTCTGCAAACCAGGGTATTTTTGAAAATGAAACAGACTGTTCTTTGTAATTATACTAAACAACAGGTGTATACCCATACCCTCTCAGCCAAATTAAGACAGATTGTATAAAGCACTATTTTACTTGAAGAACAAGAGAGCTTGCTAGTAAAGCACATGACAACAATTATTTTAATCCTAAAAGATATAAGAGCTATTTTCTAGTAGAACAAATGATAGGCAAAATGGTATTAAGAAAAACATGGGAAATGATGGTAGGGGTTAAGTTTCTCAGATCGGTATCGATGAAACTTATGGTTTAGGAATCCCAGCCACAGAGGAGACTGAAGACACGGCAATGCTTCGGATGTTGAGTATTCCTACATTTATGCTGTAAGCAATGGACATTGTTGAAAGGTTTTAATCTCTCTCCTCTCAGGAACACTACCCTGAAAACCCTGTGGGTATTTAAAGTTTATTCTTTGTAACTCATTCCTTGAACTCTTTCAAATAAGAACTTCATTCTAGTTATCACAATCTACCTGGATGATGAAATGTTCTGGAATTAGATAATGCTAATGTGCTACGCTTTACAACTAGATGTCTACCCAAACCCTCATGCATTCATAGGTGGGGCTTTGGAAAGGTGACTGAATTGTGGGTGTGTGATGCTCATTAATGGATTAGCCTACTAAGCATTTTACAACTGAGTGTGATGCTGGGAAGTGAAGGCTGGTGGGAACAGGTAGGTCACTGTAGGCATGGCCTGGAGACAGATATGTACCTCCCCCACCCTTGACTGCTACTACGTACTGCATCTTGCAATGTCACAAACTTTCTCTTCAACCCCAACTCTCTGCCATGTTGCCCTGGTTGCAGCCTGCCAACTACGGACTGAAATCTCTACAAACTGTGAGCCAAAATAAATTTTTCCCCTTTATTTGTGGGCATTAGGTATTTTGTCCCAGAAACAAGAAAGAAATTAAGACACAGTAGTTGGCAATCTTGTAACTATACTAAAAACTGAAATAAATACCTTACAATTACAACTTTCATGGTATGAATTATATCACAACTTTTAAAAAATAAAACTAAATTCTAAAAGCAGTCTTCCAGATCCAAGAGAAATGATGGAAGTCCAGGTACACAATATATACTGAATGTTAGTTGTATGTGTATGTCAGTTATACATATTATATAATATAGGCACAACAAAATGACTAACAGAAAATACATCAAGATGTTAAAAACTAATCTCTTATGATACCTGAATTTACTTTATAAAATAGGATTTCTAAAATTTCAATAAGTGCATGTATTCTTTTATAAAATGATTAACAGGGGCTGGGGATTTAGCTCAACGGCATAAGCGCCTGCCTTGCAAGCAGGCAGCCGTGAGTTCGATCCCTGGTACCGATAAAAAACGAAAAAAAAAAAAAAAAAAAAAAAAAGATTAACAGTTAAAAAAGAAAAATTGTCACTATTAACTTAAATAGTTAACTGCTTAACTTTTTTTTTTTTTTTTTTTTTTTTTTTTTGAGACAGAGTCCTACTATGTAATTCAGGCTGGCCTTGAATTCACTATGCAGCTCCAGAGTGCTAGGATGACAGGTGCACAACACTACACCCAGCATTAACTGCTATATTCTTCTCTTTGCCACAATGTTATAAAATTTCACTGATTTGTTTCAAATGAATTAATGTCATATTTCTAACCTATTTCCTACCTTTTGTGGGTCAAGGAACATAATTTAGCAATACAAAACCACAGTGCTTATATCCAAGAGCCAGATAATTGGTTATTCTTGGATTTGGTATTTTACAAAAACAATCTGCAAATGAAAATGCAGAGAAGGAAACTAAAAGGACCAACATAGAGAAAGATATGGCAACTATAAATCTGGCTCAAATAAACTGACATCATGGATCACATTCCTATTTTAAAACCTGACAAGTGGGGCTGGGGATTTAGCTCAGCGCATAAGCGCCTGTTTTGCAAGCTCACAGTTGTGAGTTCGATCTCTGCTACCAAAAAAAAAAAAAAAAGTCTCTTAAAACCTCACAAGAACCTATTATACTACTCTCAATTATCAATGCTTACGGTAAAAGTAAATAGTATTACTAATTTAAATATACAGATTGTTAACCATCTATTTTTAAGCATTATTTCCTACCTGGAATCTCTTTAGCCCATATCCAACAAAAATCTTTTCTAAACCAGGCATGGTGGCACACACCTTTAATCCCATCACTTGGAAGGCTGAGTCAGGAGAATCATTACAAGTTTGAGGCCAATCTGTGTTACACAGTTCAAATCCAGCCTAAATTACATAGTGAGATCCTATAGCAATCTCTCCCTTTCTAACAGCAACCCCAACAACCTACTTGTCACAAAACACCAACACTGCAATTAAACCTCAATTCTGAGCTTTTAGTTTAGAAAAAACAACTGTTATCTGATGCACAGATACTAGGGCAACTTGGCTCATGTGCCAACAGAACCTGCATGCCCACATGCCACAGATTCACCATCATTGATCTAGCATAAGAAAAAATAATTCTTTCCAATTAAAAAAGGAGAAATGAACTAACTGGACAGTGCTAAGGTAACAGGCTACATATTCAAAACCTGCATCTCATCTTTGTCAAAAGGCATTTCAGAAGGATCAAATATTTAAATATATGCCCTAAACTGTAAGAGTATACTAGAAGAAAATACAAGTATCAGGATTTTGATGTGAATAAAATGTCATTAAAAGTTAAATATTTTTATGAAGCCAAATATTATAAACTAAGGTGCTTATCATGTAACAAACAAATATATGTGCACATGTACCGTATATGTAGAATCTGAACTGGCTTTTTGGTTTTCGTTTTTGTAAGTTGTCAGAGATCAACAGTAGGGCCATGTGCATAAAAGTCAAGTACTCTACGAGTCTAAGCTAAGTCACTAACTTAGTGATATAGCTTATCTATGATACATTTAAACTACTGTGCGCTAAGAAAAATGCATTTTCTCAAAACAGGTGATAGAGCTGCAGGGATTTAGCTCAGTGGCACAAATGCCTGTGTGGCAAGCATGAGGTCATGAGTTCAATCCCCAGTACCAAAAAAAAAAAAAAAAAAAAGAAAAAATGTTATTAAAAATATAGCCAGGCATGGTGGCACATGCCTGTAATCCCAGCACTCGTGAGGCTGAGGCAGGAGGATCACTGCAAATTTGAGGAATTAAGGCTTTTAACTATTGCTATATAAACCCTGAAAATGAAAGATTCTTCTTTCCCTTCATCAAATTAGAAAACAATGAGTCAAAATCCATTGTCTAATAATGTACAGATCTACTATACACATATAATTGTACATGTTTCTAAATTTTCTGAAAATAGGAGTGGAATTTACAGGGTTTTTTTTTTTTTAATTAATACTTTTGAGGGGAGAGGAGAGGGAGTAGGGGAGAGAGGGAACAGGGAAAGGGAGGGGACAGGGGAGGGAAAGGGAGTAGAAAAATCCATCAATAGCCCTGGTCAAATAAATTACAAAACATTTTCTCTGACTTGCCTAATCAGAACCACTAGATCATTGGTACAAATGTCTATGAACCCCTAGAGGACTCCAATCATGAATTTTAACATGGACTGTTGCAAAGGTAATACTTTGAACAAGCAATTTTTAGTCCTATAATTTTCATCATCTAGACAATTTGAAAACTTCAAATTTTGGTATTTATACATAAAGAGGAATACAATTCATTCACTTATATTAAAAACATGTCCAAAAAATTACTAGGAAAAAAGGTGACAAGTTTTTTTTTTTAATTTTAAAGAGAATAAAATAAAACAATGAGAACAGTCTTGAATTTCAAAAACAAGGCAGTAGGAAATCAACAACAGTTACTCTACTGCACATTGTCACCCTTCAAATAGTTGCTCAGACTATCAGATACAGGCATGCAACGTTAATCAAATAATGTAAGCCTTAAATTGTTTCTTCATTTGGTAGAATTTCAGAAATCGCAGGTGTGACTTGTAATTTCATTTGTGTTTCTGTTTCTGGCACTTGTTCTGGGTGGGCTGGAGGTCTGAGATTGCACCTTGCTCCTTCGTGTCGCCGTTTTCCTGTGTTCCTCTCAATCAGCTGGCTGCTGAGTCCTGAGCACTTCCAGCTCTGGCTGCCCATCCCGCAGTGTAGGGGGTTTGGACTAGGCACCCGGGTTCCTTCAATTCAGGTGTGAGGCAGCAGCTCGCCGATGTTTAACCGGATGGCAGCGGGGCCTTGGGCGTGGCTTCTTCTCCTCTGGGCCCAGAGCAGTGGGCTCCCTGAGAGGGGGATGGCTTCTTCTCCCCTAGCACAGCAGACTCACTGGGGGTGTGGCTTCTTCCAAAGTGACAAGTTATAAAACACACATATCATTTGGTTCTATTCATGCAAAATTATGTAACCATCTATTCATGTACGTTCATATTTGATCCAAGCACTGATTTTCATCCAGGGTAGAGGAACCATGATGATTCATCATTTTTCTGGGACTGCAATGTCCTAACATCCCTAAAGATTCTGACATACATTCCATTTAAGAATCTATGCTTTAAATTGCTATTACTACTATGAACGCACCATGCACCTCTGAAGCAGACCTCTACCAAGAAAAGTCATGATGGTCATCAAAGGTATAATGGTCATCAAACAGAAACAGAAGACACTTGGACAGCAGACTTTCAGCATTTCTGTGATTTTATGTACTAGTTCAGTTACTGTTAAAGTGAATCAGCATCTGTCGTGTTGAGGACAACATGTTTTTAAAATTTTTTGGCAGTACTGGGATTGAGCATGCCCTCAGCTCATTTTTTTTTTGCTTGTTTGTTTGTTTTTGATTTTGATACAGGATGTCTCTAAGCCACTGAGTTGCCAGGCTTGACTCGAACTTACAGTTCTCTTGTCTCAGTCACCCAAAGTGCTGAGATTACAAGTGTCTGCCACTAGGCCTATTCAACCGTGAATCAACCATGGCTGGCTTCAAAAGCATAATTCTCTTTAAACAAGGGTTATAGCTAAAGAATCAAAGGAAAATGTGATTAGACAGTACTGTATAATTAAAATTCAACTGACAAGTGAAATACCACAATGAAATTATCTTTTTCAAAGAAAATTATTTTCTCAATAACAAAGAAGAAAAAAAAGATTTAATTTTGTTCATTTATTCTGACAGTGACAAGTATCAATCCATTAATTCACTTGCCATATTGTTAATAATTTCCCTACTGACAAAAACTCTTAAAATCCTCTTTAGGCTCAAAAATTAAACTGGCAAACCCCTAAAAGGTTAAGTAGTTAAACCCCTAAAAAGTTAAGTACAGGTGAGAAGCAGAAGATAACCTCCAAATCAAAATTAGATTCAATTCTAAATTTGATGAAAAATACCCACTTATAAGGAAAAGAAAAACAGCAATGTTTAGTGTGTGTATATATGTAAATATATAATATATATAAACATGCACAATAATACTTACCCCATCCAACAGAGTATTTGATAAATGCATACGGAGATCTTTACGAAATGGAAATTCGAGATTTGAAACATGAAACACTGAATTGTCTCTATCAATCATAAAAACTTCATTTGTGCCATCAATTAACATCATATAACTGTAAAAAAAAATTTTAAAGGTAATAGTAACAATATAGTATCAACAGGATTATAAAAAATAATAGAAGAACTGGTTGTCCTTTAATTTACTACATTCTTCCTATAGAAGGCCCACTACAGTATCACACAAATTAAGTATCAAAAATAACACTTCCTTGGATGAGTATGAAGAAATGATTCCTATGGAGACAATGTGATATCCAAGAGCAACATTATGAGCCATTTATTTTATTTTTTTTTATTTTATAGAGAAAATATCAGAAAATTTCAAAAAAATAGGAAAATAACAATGACTGACAGATACTTACATATTGTTATCTTTAAATTAGTTACTCAGAGTACAAGATATAGGCATTTAATTGTTGGACTAATTTTAGTACAAACCTTTCCTTTGAATGAATTCAGAAAAACTAGTAATATAACTCTACTAGCATATATAACTATCATATATATGTATATATACCCATGTGTATATGTCTATGATATGGATTTTTTGCTTTCCCCTTCCATCTTTGCTCCTCTCCCCATTCCAGCTTCTCTTTCCTTTGGAACAGCTGCTTCCCATTTCACAGTCTCTAGTGTACATTTTGGGTCTTACTTACTCTTTCAGTTTCTCTCACAAGGAGACAGTATAAGTTTACACATTCATCTTAAAGAGAGTATTTCTGTAATTTTTATTAGACTTTAAACATCACAAGTTTACAAAGCTTATAAAATACATATATATACACTTGTAATTGCATTTTACAACAGATATATGAACTAAGTATTATTTTATCTACTGCAAAAGAGAAAAAAACAGGGATCTGCAAATAGCCAAATTTCAATACTCTTTCTACCACACCAGGTAGCTAAACAACTAATTCCTCCCTGAATCATTATTATGATATAGCAATATATAATTTCAGGAACAATTTTTTCTCATTCATGGCTATAAAATTAAAATATTTCTAAACACAAGTCACAAGAATTTCATTGGTCTTTATAATCTAAAACCACCAATCAGTATTGTACATGAGGGGAAATTTATACACTTAAAAACCTGTCATTCATGAAATGATCGTTACCATCTCTGATTTCCATCAATGGATCATATCAAGCATGGAGTTCTGAGTCACATCATATAAAAACTAAAGTCTGCATGGGCTGACATTCAAGATATTACTGACTGAGAGACTAAACTACCAAGACTTCGGATTAAAATAAAGACCATATTTAGGCACCAAAGTCTTCAAAAAATGTCGAGGAAAAAACAATGACAAGAATAAGGACAAGGGCAAAAGGCAAGGCCCTCAAAGGAACCATCATCTTGCACAGCCATGGGGGGGGGGGGATTCAATGAGAAAGAGTGGAAGAGTAAGATAGATGGACTCCTGAAAATGAAGAATGCTGGGCAAATGCCCTCTGTGTACAATGTATAAGACACATCAGAGAAGATTAGCAACAACTAGAAAATGAAGCTGAAGCAAATACCTGCCTGTGTTTAAAAACATTTGCTTACAGCGCACGTTTTAAAATATTTTAAATTAAGATTAGGCAGCAGAAAAAACATTAAATGAAGAGATGAAAGCTGATATAGAATCTGAAGGACAGTTTGTCATAAATTCACTAAAGAGCAAGGTATACGTGTTTAATATAGTGTTATGGATTAAAAACTGATGGTCAACCTAATGACAGCTGAATTAAATCAGCATGGTGCTGAGGTAGATGTTTCACCTGAGGAAAGTTGCCAGCAGAAATAGCAATGTGGAGAAGGAGAAACAAGGCGTTGTGGGTTTCTCTAACGTTGTGGGTTTCTCTAAGTATTGCTGTTTGAGCTGCTGGCACTCCTGGAAAAGCTCGTCCTGACTCGCTTCCCCAGTGTCAGTTGAACCATTATTGGTTCAGTTGAACCTTGTTGGTTAGAGTGGCTGTGGTTCACTTTGGGGGATCTTTGGTCCTTACATCAAGCATCGCTTCCTGGCTCTGGAGGGGAAGACGTATGCTGTTTAATCTCCAAGGACACACTCATCACGCTGGCTTCCTGGCATGTACTCAACTGTGCTTGTCATGGGAGAAGCTCGGGGCCTCTGTGTCGCTGAGGACGGCTGTGGTGCTTTTCAGGATAGCATGACTTCTTATCTCCACGTAGAACCCTCAACCTATCAGCACAGCTCTTTCACCCCACTGGCTTAGACTTTCTACAGTTTCCACTGCTGACCTTTGGGCCTTCCCAGAAGGATCCATAAAACAAGACTGGTGTGAGTCCTTATCGTGGGCTCTAGACCTCCAGTTGGACTTGTGGGAGGCACTGTCACGGGCTCTAGGTCTTCATCTGGACTCAAGCAGGACTTTGCTGTGGGATCCAGGCCCTTGGCTGAATATTCTGAGTCTTTAGTGCTGTAGACAGATATCTTGCACTTTCTTTTGTTTAACTTTGAGCCACCATTATAAAATAATATAAATTCTGTGTTCTGATTCTAATTGTTCTCACAATCACTGATTACAACGTACAGGTAAGGACAAATGACTAAGGTTAAAAAAAAAAGTGCAAACAAAAGGGGAAACAACAACAAAGAGGCCCAAAATGGCTTATATTCTGGGACTACCAGGCTGGTGTTTGCTGTTCCCAAAATAATTAGCTAACACAAGCCCCTTGAGGACTCAGGAAGGATGGATTGCTTACACGCTTGCTATTATTGAAACAGCAGTACCACCTCTGGTAGAGGGGTAGTGTGGAGACTCAAGTTTCACTAAAATCAGCCCCAGTCTGGACTGAATTTGTATCTGAGAGATGCCAAGCCAGCAGCAGGCTCAATACCAACAGGAATACTCAGTTCTCAAGACTTAATTTATATATTTATTTAAAGTACCAATTCCTGGTGGGTATAACATATTTAGGTTTCTTAAAAGCAATACTCTGAGACTGTGTTTCAAAAGAAATTTAAGTCAACATAAGGAAAAGTTAAATAAAAAGCAATTAGGCTATAATCCATAAAAGTGACTTTAAGGACACACAATTCATCACGTTGTTTAAGGACATGGATCAGTATTTTGCAAGCTGAATAAAAAGGTATTTACAGAAAACAAGTTAAAGAAACACTATCTTTCTCTTACCAAGTCAGGATATTAGGATACTTAAAGTCATTTAATGTTCACATAAAATAAATATTAAAGCTCAGAGGCCTGGTATTTTTATTTGAAATAGAGATAGCTATAGGTATAGATATCAGACTGTCCATTTTATTTCAAGTAGCATTATCAGTTAAAAAGAAACATGTGATACATGCGCACATGTATCTCAACAGATTTAAAAGACTAAGGATGAAAAGACTTTAGAGAATATAATTTACTACAAAAGTTTGTGCTTGGGAAACACAGCTTACATCTGCAAGAAAGCAGAGAAATTATTGAGCAGTTGGTGTTTAGAGACACTCACATACATACAAATTTTCAGGCTTTGGAACAAGTTGCTAGGCTATAATTTTTTGGCTTGAATTCTAATTCCAAATTTTCTTTGGGATACTTACAAAATGTAATGAGCTATTTCACATAGGAGATGAAAAGTAAGTTCTCCAAAGTCTCTGAAAGTAGCCAAATTATTTAAGAAGAGGCAGCTATCTCATTCACCGCCAGATACTTGTACACTATATAAGTATGTTCGTACTTTCACTGAATACAAACCATTATGTAATATAATTTATTAATTAAAAATCTCAACTGCAAGTTTAATATTCAGATTTATAGGTATTTATCTTATCATTCTCATTAAAAGATAAAATTTAACTAACTCAAAACTTTCACTGAATTAGAAAATACTTATTCACTTTTACTAAATGCATATACTGAAGCTACACAGATAACAGAAAAGTCAAACTGATAAACCACTTTATACACACAGGTTTTCCAGCATGACTACCAACAAATCTTTCAATCTTTCTCTGGCACTGAGCTATGAGATATATAATCAAGTAAAGATACCAAAATATATACTAATAAAATTTAGGAAGTACATTAATTAAAAAAGAAAACTGATAGAAAATTCTTGTAACTAATTTGAGTCCAGCCTGGGTTCCTTAGTGAGATTACATCTCAAAATAAAACTTTAAAAAGGGAGAGGCATCTGACCCTCTCATCCAGTGTCCTGAGTCTAAAATCTCTAGCACTGAAAAAAAGTCATTAAATAAAGTATATGCTGATATCCCCTTTAAAAAAAATAATCCTGGTAACTAATAACGCCATAAAATCTTTGTTTGCACTCCTACCAGTAACCTCAAAGTAAAATGGGCTTTGGATATCTTATCATTTAATCTTATCTCCAGTTCAGATCCAACTCTGATCAATTACATCTCTAAAATTTTATCTAACAATCTGAAAGCAGAGACCATATCTATTTTCTTCTTTCTTACAGATCAGATGCTTGCAAATCTATCAGAATACACAGAAGACAATCAATAAATACTTGCTAAGAAGCTATCACATTTCATGACAGTGAAAAAGTGTATCCTTACAGAAACTGGAAACAAGAAGTCTCTTCTCCCGCCCTCCCTCTAGTGCCCCCAAATGAAAAAAAATCCAACAGGAAGGACATGGCCAAGGGAGCAGGGAAATGTAGTTTATGGACTCTACCCACCCTCGGATATAAAAGAATGGGCTGGCACTGAGAAACAGTAGGTAAGTAAATGCAGACCACAAACTAGCCAAACCTCACAATGTACACCCCAACAGGGTAGGGTCAATCTGTAGGCAAGAGAAACTGTGAGGTCCTGAGTTTGATTCCTGGTACCATAAATGTTTTATTAGCCTTAATATTATTAGTACATGATATTAGTACATGAGGCTGGGGTTTAGCTCAGCAGCATAAGTGCCTGCCTTGCACGCAGGCAGTCTGAGTTCGATCCCTGGTACCGATAAAAAATATATATATTATTAGTACACATTTGCAATTCATGTGGTTTACAGTCACTTTGAGGGAAACAGTGTGCTCACATTGCAACCTTTCTCCTTTCCTGTTTTAATCCCGGTCTCTCCCTTCTCCCACTCTTCAATCCCAGTCATCATTCCCGCTGACATTGTTAATCTTAGCTCATGTTATCACATCTAGTGTTTAAAGTAAATATAGCTATTTCTGTATTTTAACTTCATTCCAAAAGACTTGACATCTACCTGGCTACACAGTAAATTTCATCCCTGATCATCACTTCTCCAAAATAGCCCCATGTCCACTTTAACCAATTTTTTTCCCGTTTCTTTCTGCTCTTCAGAGAAAAGGAAATGGTATTTTAAGTGCATTTTACAATTTTTTAACAAGAAAAATAAGTTTTCCTCCTTACCTCCTTTATTTAGTTTCCTTCTGTTTAAACCTAGTGAAACAACTGTTATCAGGAGGCAAAATTAAAAGTAGAAATGTTTAATCTAGCTGGACAAAACAATAAAAAATCATGATCACAGAGTCCCTGTCACAATATTCATGTTTCCATCTTACCTCAAAAAACTTCAGTTTGCCCCTCCAAATAATTTTCTATTTTTTGTGACAAAATCTTGCTATATAGTTTAAACTGGATTCAAATTCACTAAGTAGCCCAGACTGGCCTTGAATTCACAGCAATCCTCCTGAGTCAGTCTCCCACAGCTGAAATCACAGATATGAGCCATCCAGAGCCCCCAAAGAGTCTCTGAGCTATTCAAAGCAGTTTACATGAACATCTTTCGTTGTAAATACCTAAATATCACTTATTTAACCACCAATGCTGTATTAGCGTATTTTGTCATTTTTACAGTGGATACACACAGGAAACAATTTACCTTCCTTATGGATTAAATAAAACTTACAGGCTACAGTGGAAATCTAATCACCATTTATACTATAATTTCATAGAAATACAGTTCAAAGTGAAAGAATCTCAAAAAAAAACTTCAGATAGTTTAAAACACTGTCATCTGCATCATGCCCACAAAATAACCAAGAGTTAATGATGAAATAATCCTCTAGCTGAGTTCTGATTTCAAGCTAATGGCTATTATTTATCTCACAAAATAACATTTCAACTCCTTTTTTAAAAAAAAAAGATATTAAGAGAAAGTATAGCTGTGAATTCCTAGAAATACAAAAAATTCAAGTTATGATCATATTTTCCATTAATAAATTAGAGAATACGTACATGTAGTAACACTACCACCTAAGCAGTTTCAATGTATCACTGCTGCTAACAATCATGGAAATAAAAACATAATTCTAACAATCTATCATCAAAAATCATCAAAATCGTTATTAAGCATTATAAACATGCTTCCTAATTCTATAGGTATTTTGATTTGATGTACTGGCTCTAAGCACAGCAGGCTTCTGCAAAAGGATTAGCTCTTCTTTCATCCTCATACCACATCAATTTAAAGTCATAAATCAGGTCTTATTAAGGCTCTACAGTCTTACATTCACTTTATGGCCACAGCTTCATTCTATTACATGATCATATACACAATAATTAAACAAACAACATGTATTATTTAATGTTAACTGCAAAGCCCTTTCGTTACCCCAGATTTAAGACAGATTTAAATGTTAAATCAGTCTAACCAGTTCTTTATCTTGAACTGTTAATTATATGTTAAATAACAGCCCTGCAGCATGTTAATGAAGATTTGGACAACTTGCCAACATTTAAATGTCTTCTAATCTCTATTTTGTATATTATATCTTATACTACAAATTTTCTAGTGTGCTATTCATCAAGTTTTAAGCTTAATAAATAATACATGGTAAATGCTATCTATAAAAAAAAGCAGTCAAAAAAATTAACTTTCACTTCAAACTTAGTTAATTCATCACAAAACCTCCTTAATGACCAGGAGGCACCTACCATAAAAACTTCAAAATCTCCAAGTATTCTCACAGTGTTAGCCATGCTTGTTTATATTAACAGATTAACTATTTTAAAGATTGAAACTGTTTCTGTTTAAAAGAAAGCTAGGAGTGGTGATAAATGCTTATAATCTAAGCAGTCATGAAGCAGAGGCAGGAGGATTGCCAAGAGTTCCAGGCCAGTTTGAACTATGTAAGGCAGCAAGATACTGTTTCAAAAAACAAAACAAAACAAGAAAATCTTCCACAAGGCTTCAATCTTGCACAAAGCTGCCTACCATGGGCAACACTGTTAAAAATCAACACTGTTAAAGAGCTTGATACAGAAAGGACCCAATGTCAGCTTTTATATTCTTCCCTACTATTCCACAGAAGTAATGCCATGCAACATAAATAATCAAGTACAGTACTGTATATAATAAGATGAAGAATATATTTGTTCCAAACTACCCAACAATTAAAAACCAATTTAATTTATTTATATGAACTATTAATGATAAAGCTCCTATGGTTTGGGGCTTTAGGGGAGAATTTATAGGTCCAGAGCCTGTAATCTAATTCCAGGCCCAACAGCACTTGCTATAAAGACTCGTAAAAATAAGGCAGGCATACTAGAACCAAAAAGCTTATCAACTGTAAATAGCTTTACTTCCAGGAAGATGGTGGCATAGGCAGCAGAGAAAAAGTCTGAGATTTAGTGTCCAGACACTGCAGTAGAGCAACATGAGGAAGAAAAGAGGGAAGTGGGTTCCCTGAACCCAGAAAATATCTGGAGTAAGAAATAAAGCCCACAGAGAGGGAAAAGAGAAACTTCAATGAGGCAGAAGGAGATGGCAAGCGACACCTTCTCCATGAGCCCAGACTAATTGCATGGAAGAGGGCTGTTCAAACCTGCAGATGTATGGCAACTGCTAGCCATCGAGGATTCCATCACAGAGACTGAACCTAGTGGACTGAAGTGGCTGGTGAGTCATGCTGGGGTTCTAATATTCCTGGGGAGAGAGCAATTGGCTGGAAACCATCTTAGAGAGTGACCAATGAGGTGGGAACTCAGAACAACTGCTGCTCTATCTAGTGGTCCCCAGTTCAATTAAAGCCTATAGAAGGACAACACTTCTGCAGGCTAAAAGGATCTGATTCCAGCTCATGGCCAGAAACCAGCCTGAACTTCAGGGAAAATAAAGGTATGGATGGGTATGCTGAGATTATCCACTATCCCAGTATAAAACTATACAGCTGGCTTGCTGGGATTCATCACCAACAGCAGCACAGACATACCTTGAAGTGGACCTCTCTCTGTCTCTCTCTGTCCCTCTGCTACTGGTTGGTTGGTTGGTTGGTTTGGTTTGGTTTTTTCTTCATTGCTTATTCCTGTTTTTATAGTTCCTAATTTTTTGTGGTTATTGCCCAGCTGAGTTCTTTATATTTCTTCCTTCTCTTTTTCCCCCTTGGATTCTCCATCAGTTTCTCAAAGTTTGTATGATGCTCCTTTGTCCTCCAGTCTTCCTTTTGATGTTTTCCTCTTCTATTTTTACCCCTAACCTCTTTTAAATTTTCTCTCCTGAGGGTAAAATTGGCATATTGAGGGCTTATTTACTGCATATAATTTTTTAGCTTGTAATAAATTTTGTTATACAGCCACAAATCCAGTTCATACAGTTAAAGGTGGAAAATTATTAATAGTTACCTCATTTTGTCATTTTCTAGGCTTCGTTTGATGCTGCTGTTATTGCCGATTGTACTACATGAGATAAAGTGACATAACTTCTAATCAGTTGTTTCTCTGGGTATACCATAATTGAGACTGCTAAGAATCATAAAAAAATAGTATAGCCCAGTGCCAAAAGAAACACAGACTTGGCCAACCAAATAGGCAGCTACTTTCCATCCCCAATAAATTGAAAAGGTAGGATCTTTCCATAGACTCAAAACCCGAACCCCTCTTACACCTGGAAAACACCTCTGACAGTTCTTTCCTAAAGGTTCTAAATAGTAGCAAGAAAGCTACTTGCATAGACAATTTGCAAGTATCAACCCAGGAATTAAACTAAAAAAAAAAAAACAAACAAAAAAAGAAAGAAAGGAGGAAGAAATAAAAAGACACTTAAACGTAACACCAGATGTCCAGCTCACCAAGGGCAAACCAAGGGGCAAAGCAATAGGATAATCCACAAGCCACCCACCTGGCCTCTCTGAAGTGGTAACAGTGGAATTAACAATGCAAATGAACAAGGCTCTAGAAGAAACCAGATCAGAAATAATTATTCACATAACTACAGAAATGATGACCACAATGAAAGACATGTTTAGTGACTCTGGACCAGATAAAGATAGATATAGATATATATACATACAGATATATATATATACATTTCATCAATATATATGTAAATTGCCTTATTAATGAAATGATGGAAACCATGAATGCCCAACATAGGAAAGAAACAGAATCCATTAAACAGATTCAAACAATGTCTAAGACATTAAAACTTCTATTGACAGTACACGCAGCAAGATGACCCAATGTGAGGACAAAATCTCAGACATAGAAGACAGGCTTGCAGTCAGCAATCATGAAAAGAAAGATTTCTTAAGAACAGCAAGAGATCACAAGAAATCACTCCAGCAGCTAGATGATGCAAAAAAGAATAAAATAAATTTGATCAGAGTCAAGAGTGCAAATAACATAAAAATCCTATTTACAGACATCATGGCAGAAAACTTCCTTGGCAGGAAAAACAATCTGACATACAGATAAGTGAGGCATATAGGACTCCATTACCCATGAATGAAATAAAAACTGTACAGCAAAGCATACAACAGTCAAAATTCCAGAAATTCAACACAAGAACAGAATTATTAAAGGCTTTTAGAGAAAAGAAGCAAATCACCTGTAAAAGAAGCGTCTTTGGAATCACAGCAGACTTCTCAACACAAACCCTCAACTAAAGAAGAGCTTAGAGTGATGTATTTCAAGTCATAAAAGGAAACAACCTCCAACCCAGCCAGAATGATGTATCCCACAAAATCATGTTTCAAAATAACGGAGAAATAAGATACTTGCATGACAAACAACACTTAAGGAAATTCATGAACAACAAATCAGGACATTCTAGAAAGAGATAACAAGGACTTTACATTGAAAACTACATTACTTTCAAAAGGGAGATTAAAAAAAGTTTAAAAATGGAAAGATATTTCTTGCTCTTGGGTAGGAAAAACCAATATAGTGAAAATGACCATATTTCCAATGTTACACAAATTTAATGTAATTCTAATTAAAATCCCAATAGCATACCTCACATAATTAGAAAAAAAAATCCTAAAATTCACTTGGAACCAAAAGTGACCTAGAATTGCGAAGACAATTCTGGGCAACAAAGGCAAGTCAAGGAGCATCAAGATCCCTAACTGCAGAGCTACTATGAGGAAAAACAGCATGCTACTGGAGAGAAAAAGAAAAAAAAAAAAACAGACCTGAGCATCAAAGAAACACATTAGAAGATGCAAACAACTCAAGACAACTTATCCACCTTATCTTTGACAAAGGGGTCAAACACATTCACTGGAAGAATGATAACCTCATTAATAAGTAGTGCTGGGAAAACTGGCTTTCTATATGCTGAAGATTAAAAATTAGAACCGTTTCTTTCACCATACACTGAACTAAAATCAAAATGGATCAAAGATACAAATATTAAAATGGAAACATTAAATCTGCTGGAATATAAAATAGTTGGAACTCTTGAAGACACTGGTGTGGACAAAGACTTTACGAACAAAACCCCAATTGCACAGAACTATCACAAAGAATCAACAACTGGGATCACATCTTATTAAAAAGCTTTGCACAGCAAGAGAAACCACCAACAGAGTAAAGAGACAACCTACACTGTGGGAAAAAAATTCTGCCGGCTGTTCCTCAAAGGATTATTATCTAGAATATATAAAGAACTCAAAAAAAAAAAAAAATCAGAGCCCTCGAATTTAAATATCTAGTCCAGAAATGGGCATCTCAAATGAACAGACACTTCTCAGATGAAGAAACAGAAATAGCAAATAAATATATGGAAGTATTCAACATCACTGGTCATTCGTGAAATGCAAATTAAAACTATGATATTCCATCTTACTCCACAAAGAGTGGCTATCATCAAGAAATCGACCAATAACAAATGTTGGGGATATGGGGGAAAAGGAACCCTTCTCCACTGTTGGTAGCAATGCAGACTTTAAAACCACTGTGGAAATTTAAGGTATGAAGATTCCTCCAAAAGGACTAGTGGTCCCATCTGACCCAGCTATTTCTCTTGGAATCTTTATGAAAGAATCAAAAGCTGCAAACCACAGCAATATATGTACACCCATATTTACAGTAGCATAGTTTGTAATAGCCAAAGGCTGGAAACAGCCCAAATGCCCATTTACTTAGTGAATAATTAAAGAAGATTAGATAGAGGTAGAGGTAGAGATAGAGATATACAGAGATATACCAATAGATAGAGTACTATGTTACCACATAGAAAGATAAGCTTGAGACCATAATCCTAAGTGAAATAAATCAGACACACATGTGCAAGTACCACATTCTTTTTCTGATGTAAGAAACTAAAAGTATAAATAAGTACCAAAATGTATAATAAATATTGCAAAATAGGAAGAAAATGTTCAAATGGCAAGAAGAATGGGGACGGGGAAGACTGGGTAAAGGAAAAAAACTGATAAAAAAAGGATAAAATGGAAACAAAAACTTTATAAATAGAGAAGAGTTGAAGGGGAGGGGATTGGGAAAAAAGAGGAATCAAAATATATCATGTACAGATACAAAATTCCCTGCGACGAACATGGTCATTATGTATACCAAAAATGTACCAAAAATCATTTTCTTTGGGAAAAAAATCATGAAATGATTATAGCTGTCCTATTTTTAACTACATAAACTTTAGAATTGCAATATCCTTATCCCATTCTCATTTTACCATCCTCCACTGCCTAGAAGTCTGCACCATCCTATCTCAAAACAAGTCTTCAAACTCCTATGCAAAACTCACTTCCATGACATCTCACATGCTCCAAATAGCAGATCCCATAATTATAGGCAGCTAAGTTAGATAAAAATTAATATATAATACAGGCAGAAAGAGACTAGGCTCTCAAGGAAAGGAGTAAAAGGTGGAAACACCAAAATTGTAGCTTAAAGAAGACATGATTAAAATCACAATGGCTGGATTTCATACTTCCCTAATGAAGGATTATAGTTTGATCCACACGGTACCCACTCCTGATTTTGTACCCATCTTGTAATTATGCCCTACGTAAAACTCTCGGAGAAAGGGCCACAGAGGCAAACCACTGGGGATTCCTTTTCTCCAATAAATCTTTTCTACTCTTCCACTTCCACTGTCCTTTGGAAATCACATGCATCAGCAACCTGACATCTAATAGGTTGCTAGTTTTACTTCTTCTATGTCACTATAGAAATTATCAATTCCAAGTTTCCCAGAATTATATATCTACTATGTAAAACAAATAACCATTTCATGGTCAAAGATTGTTAAGTGCTTTAAAATCCAGATTGAGGGGTTTCAACTTAATTTTTTTGTTGTTGTTTTTAACTTTATTTTTTGAGATTACATAGCTCAAATTGGCCTTGAACTCACTAGATAGCCCACACTGGCCTCAGACTCACAGTGATCCTCCTACCATGGCCTCCCAAGGCAAGAGATCACAGCTATAAGCCACCATGCCCAACATCAACTTTATTTTTTAATTGGGCAATTTCATAGTTGATGCATATGAGTAAATAAAATAATGTACTGTATGGCCATTTGCCAACATTAGTATTAAAAATTATTTGTATAGCATCATTTATGATATATTAAGACATAGTAAGTCATGGTGATGATATCTGGAGGCAAAGCAGAAAACATCAAAAGGGAATCTAGTTAGTGGTTAAGTACACACATTCCACATAGACAAAGGCTCTTACTAACTGCAATTTTGCAGTTCTTAGCTCTAGGTCTCAGTTTCCTCATCAATAGTTCTCATCTCATGAAGTGACTATAAGAATTAAATCTTAGCAGCATTACTCACAATAACTAAAACATAGCAGCAACCCAATATCTATTTAGGGATAAATATGCAAAATGCAGTATGTATATACAAAGGAATACTATTCAGTCCTCAAAAGAAAAGAAAAGAAATTCTGACATATGGTACAACATAGATAAATCTTGAGGACAGTATGCTAATGCAATCACAAAGACAAACACTGTATGATTCAGTGTGAGACACCAGAGTAGTTAAAGTCATAAAGACATAAATAAAATGATGCTTGCCAAAGCCAGAGCGTAGAGAACTAGTGTTTAGGGATGATACAGGAGATCAGAGTGTGACTGAACTGGCTGGGGAAATAGTTCTGACAGGTTAACTGAAGATCTCAGAACACAGGCTCAGAACAGTCCCAAAAGCCCTGCAAACGAATTTTCCACAGAATGGCCTAGGACCTAAGGTCAGCCTGAGGCTTAAGATCCCAGTATCACCTCTCAGGACCAGAAAGTAGAAGTTCTTGAAGGTTTCCTCAACATCCGGACACCATAAAAGGACAGGAGACCATGAAGAGCTTGCCAGTCTGATTTCTTCACAGAGCACACTCTGCTCACGGTGCACCGCACCTTGTGCTCTCTGTCACTTGGTCTAACCTCACTGTGCAGGCGTTTCTCCCTCATCTTCACAATACACTTTGCCACTGCTTTTTTCCCCCTTCTCTCTCTTTTCTCATTTCATTCAATTCTTTGTTCAAGAAGAATCTGGAATCTAATTCCAGAAGGAAAGGAGAGCAACCCAGAACCCAGCAACATTTATTTGGCAAGCCACTTTTAGAAGGAGCTACACTATTTGTACTGATCTGACAAGGGGGTGTTAGCTATGCGTCCAAGAGGAAAAAACAAGGTAAGTTGCATAACTAACAGAAAAAGTCTAACTTTTAAAGTTCCATTTTGCAGCACCTGTTACAGACTTACTACAGCAACTACCAGGACTAGATCACAGCTTGAAGTTTATAGTTTAAGTAGCAATTTGATTTGTTCTAAGTTATATACTATACTTTGTTACTCTAGCCAGTAGTTTACATTTTATCAGGCTAGAATAATGCAATAAATGCTTAAATTCCTTCTAAATAATTCACAGGGAAATGAAATTTAGTTCTTTTTCCATTCATAAGTGCTTTTAAAACTGAATTTTCTAAATTTCAGCATGTTACTAAAATAAAGTATGTCCAAAAAAAGCTCACCTACAAACAATTGAGCAATAGTATCAGAGCTGGACTGAAAACCACAACTGCACTGTACTAAAATGGGCCACTTATAAAATCTTCAAATCAGATTTCTAACTTAAAAAAGAGTTGTCAGAATTAATTACTCATTTTCTAATTTCTTTACCTAATTTACAGACACTAATAGTTTCTGGAAACTGAGTAACAATCAAACATGTAAAAACTGAGTAATTTCTAAAGAATATATAAACAGTATATAATGAACAATTTTTAAAAAAAGAAACCTAATTATAGAACTCTCCAAAATATTTAACCACAGCATATTTATCAAAATTGCTATTCTTCATAAAATAACTTTTATATTTTACAAATATTAACTTCAATATCTAAAAGATAAGAACTACACCTAACACTGGGTTTTACTATTAAATATCTTCACTCCCATCACAAACAGTTAATAGCAAAAACAAAAACCCTCCACATTACTCTTTATTCCAACATAAGAACGTTTCAGTTTGCTGAAGCAAAAAACAAACAGGGCTGGGGGTTTAGCTCAGTGGTGTTAAGTGCCTGCCTGCCAAGTGTGAGGTCATGAGTTCGATCCCCAGTACCAAAATAAAAAAAAATTTTAAAAATCGCAAAAAAAAAAAAAACAAAAACACTTTTTAATATGGCTATTTTCTTTTTTACAAAAACAGCTAACTGGTACTTCAAAGTCATCAAATATAAATCAGATGTAAAGCATAAAAATATATGTTAACATTGTCAAATGCTGTACTTTCAATTTGGCACACATAATCCAATTAACCCTTACTAAATTCTTAATAATCTCAAACTAGTATTATGAGGTGTGTTAGATGCACAAGGCACTGGATACCGTTAGAATTTATCGCTTTACAAAGGCAACCTAAATTATAGCTGGTTGTGTGCTGCCATCTAGTGGAGGAATAAAATTCCAAAACTAAAAAAATTTTTAATGATTTATTTACTAAATCATTACAATATATTATGTCAGAATGCGGTCCTTAAAATAGCAATGCAATTCCCAGAAGAACTGAAAGCATCATACCACAGTGATATATGTGCACCTATGTTTATAGCAGCACAATTTGTAATCGCCAGATCTTGGAAACAACCCAAGTGCCCATCAACTGAGGAATGGATAAAAAAGTTGTGGTATTTCTATACAATGGAGTATTATTCAGCTATAAAGAAGGATCACATTGAGATATTTATCAATAAATGGGCGCAGCTTGAGACCATACTCATAAGTGAAATAAATCAATCTCGCATGTGTGAATACCGAATAGTTTCCCTAATGTAAGTAATGATTCAAATATATAAAAATATGTGGTGATCATGATTCCCCATTAGGTGGCCTTGAAGCCTTATAAAGTTTTCACTCATTAATTAGAAAGGTTTTATTCTGGGCTTCTTGATATGAAAATATTTGAAGCTAGAGTATATGAAGTTTTACCCAAATATTTCAAGGAAAAAGACACTATGGTAACTACTATTAAGTCAGGTTATAAGGTGGTGAAGTACTAGGTTATTGAAACAGTCATGCTGTGACCTCTATTGTTATATTGTTATGTCCTGTTTTATCTCAATCTCCCCCTTATTGTTTCAAAAAAAATTATTTAGTCATTTCTTATGTTTGTCTTAATTAAAGAAAAAATTCAAAAAAAAAAAAAATTAGGATATATAAATAGTAACTCTTTTCGATTTCCTATTAACTTGTTTTGAAGTCCTGTAGTACTCCCACGATCTTGTTTTGACTGATTAGACTCTGTTCCATTCTATATGATAGTATCAAGTTTGAAGACATAGGCAACTACTTTGAAGACAATAAGATTCACTAAGATACCCATTCTGGTTTGACTATTGTCTTCTTTGGAAGTCCTGTAATGTTTACAATGCCTAAGTTTTATTGGTCTTGTTCTCTACTGTTTTGTCCAACTTTATACTATCTAATAAGATAGACAATTCTTTTTAAGGAAACAACGGACAACGTTGATAACCATTGTTGATAAACTTGTACTCTGTTCTACACCATGTGTTATGTCTATCCTTGGTATTGACTGATAGCTTTGTTTTGCCATATTTGACTGTATTCTTCCCCCCCCCCCAAAGAAAGTAATAAGCACTAAGGAGTAATAAAATCCAAGATGTGTAAATTTTGTTGTAAAAAAGAGAGGGAAAAAAAAAAAAAAAAGAAAAGGAGCTCTAACGGATATAACAGCAAGTGTGTTTGGGGGTGTTAAATAGCTGACTTTATCAATGTTTTTGGAACATTGAACACAGCTGTTTGCAGTCTCCCTGTTTGAATGTCCACCTTGTGTTCTTTGATACTGTGATTTGAGGAACTATTTTCAAGAAAATAGTGTGTAATCTACTAGCAGGTAATTTCTTACTGTTATGGTTTTTTGTTTTGTTTTGTTTTGTTTTGTAGTTCTGTATTGCGTGTACCCTTACGCCGCTTTGGTTTGTTTTGTGTTTTTCTCTTTTTCCTCTTAAATAAAAAAAAAAAAAAAAAAAAATAGCAATGCAGAAAATATTAATATAAAACATAACAATAAACATCATATATTACACTATTAGTATGTAATGTAATATACATAATGTAATTACATAACTGTATAGATATATATATATAATAAATTATATATTATAATTATAATTAAATTATAATTATATTATAATTATAATTGAATTATAATTAAAAATGAATATACTACTGGTTTTTTACCTTAAAAAATGTGTGTTCCCATAACTATTTTAAAATAAGCTATTAAAACAAATATTACGCATTTGTAAAAAGCTAGGACACCATTATCATAGTATACTTATAAAAGCCAAGAAAAATCTAAATTTACAACTACACAGAAATTGTTGAATAAAGTATAACACATTCATACAATATAAATCCAGAATTATTTTTTCCTCTTGACACCACTAAAATGATAACGAAGTGTGGTTTCCCCCTTCTTTTAAAGTATAAAGCTGTTACTTTAATAAAAAGGCCCATAAGTCCATGAATTCTTTGATATCATACTTTTTCCTTCAAGAGATGGAGTCTAATTTCCTCTTGAAGTCAGACTAAGTTTATACCTCACTTCCAATGAATAAAATATGGCAGAAGGTGACTATATGTCACTTCTGTGGTTAGATTATAAAGAGACTACCACTTCCATTTTAGATGCTCTCCTAGATTACTGTTCAGGAAAAAGATGGCCACATTGTGATAAGGACACTCAGGTGGCTCTGGGAGTCTGTCTGGGACTCTGGAGTGAGTTTGTAGATCATTTTAATCTGAAGCCACGAGATTTAACTGATACAGAAAGAAGCCTTCTTAGAGCTTCCTTTATTGGACTAAAAGCAGAAACTTCTAGAAATTAGCTGTTATAAAGTCTTTTAAGCTTCTTCACTCTCAGTAAAACTATCATAAATCCCCTTTCAGGAGAGTTTTATAACCATGAAAAATACAGAAAAAAAAAAATATGTCTACCTAAAAAAAAAAAAGCAGATTTTCTTATTTCACTTTTTTTCTCCCAAAAATGCTATTTGTCTTTCAAAAAAAAAAAACAAAAAAAACTTTATGTTGTTTCCACTGAAGTCTGTTTTCTACATTTTCTTTCACCTACTGGGTTATATGTGTAAGAGCCTAAATTCAGTCATTTAGCAAACCACTTACTTTGTGTACATCTACACGGATATGAATATTTTTGTGTTGCTAATCTGTCTCTTGTCAGTTTAATTTGCAGGCCTTCAACCACTAAACCTAAGTGGGTAAGCGAAGTTTCTCCTCGCAGACATGGCCCGTGGACAGGACCACAGACAAGAAACAGAGGCCTCATCCCAACAGCCTGTGAGGAACCGCAGCCCAGGATCTGCCACACAAGGAAACTTGTAAGTAGAGCCTGAAAACACAGCAGTCTCAGTTTAACCTCAGCTGAAAGATAATGAGCCAGTGAATCAAACTGCTCTCAACAACTATGAGGTAGTAACCAAGGAAAACCAGCCCACCCCTCACTCACTGCCACCGCCACCAAGGGATGCTGGCTCTCCCAGAACCTCACAGAACTAGTCCTGAGATATCAACCAACCAACGTCACTACGATTGTCCACACTGCCAGCTGCCAGGACCCTTGCCTTCGTTATGCTCTGTCAGCCCACTGAAATCAGACTGAACATCTATCTGTGCTCTGCAGCTCAGTCATGCCAATTAACACTCCTTTGCTAGGCCAGGGATGGTCCACACCTGTAATCCCAGCACTCAGGAAGCTGAGCAAAGAGGATCGCTACAAGTTCCAGGCCAGCTTGAGCTACAAAGAGAGTTCAAGCCAGCCTGAACTGCACAGTGAAACCCTATTGCAAAAACACACAAAATAACAAACAAACCTCTCTTTCCTGCGCTTCACCACTGCTCTTCTCCTGACTAGCATTATGGGATGGATGGCTGCACCTGATCTGTGAGGTCACTGGAGCAAGGTCTTCTCTGCCCTAAAACTCCAGCAACAAGCTCAACAAGACACGTAAGTAATCAATAGTGACCAGAAGAAACGTCTTCTCTATATAGTAGGATAGAAGAGTCCTCCAGCACAAATGTTTATCATAAAACAAAGGTCAGAAGCAGACAAACCCAGGCCACACTCACAGAGCTTCCAAGTAGCTTTTCAGCCTATCGCTAAATAGAAATAGTCAACCAAGGACCAAACTGCGTTTGAGAAAAACTAGAAACATAAAAAATGATTCTCGAAGAAAAAACAGCATTATATACCTTTTAATTAGAATTCTCATTGACATTCAAGAAGCGATTATATCCATAAATCAAAAACAAGTTATCATCAGGCTGAGAGTTTACCCTGGCATCTAAAAAGCCCGAGGTTGGATCACCAGCAACAAAAGGGGAAAAAAAAAAAAAAAAAACGAAAAGACATAGTCGTCTTTAAAAGGTACAAAGAACAAGAATGTATACAGCCTTGAACATTAAAGGCACAATTACTACCATATAAGGTAGGAAAGCTGGTGGGGCAGTGCATGCCTACAATCTCAGCATTTGGAAGGTTGAGGCAGGAGGACTGCTGTGAGTTCAAGGCCAGCCTGAACTACATAGCAAGATCCTGTCTCAGAAACAGACAGACAGACAGAAAAACGGATGATGGAAAATGAGAAAAACTACCAGGAAGTTCAAAAAGAGAAAAGAAATTAAAATTGTAAGAGCAAAGATTAGAGATGAACAAGAAACTGGAGTTCTAACAATCATAGTAATTTTAGAAAGAAAACAGGAAATACTGTCGGAGGTAAAACCAAGTATTCTTGAATGGAAAGAATCCAGATTTTCAGATTCAGAGAGATTACCAAGGATTAGCACAACTATGGTGGAGGGAATGTGGAGGTTACAACCAAAAGATAACAACAATCATTAGACATCACTGAAAATTTCTAGGCCAAGAATAAAAATTCTAAAGGTTTCCAGTAACAGTAGAAAATTGTTTACAAGAAATTAGCGTATCACATCTTTTATTAAAAACACAGGTTACTAGATGACAGAAGAGTAAGGTTTTTAGCATTTCCAGTGAAAATATCTTCAAACTAAATTTTTATTCACCATCAGACTATTAAATATGGGACCAGTGCAATAATATTTTCATAAATCCAAGTGGGTTAGGAAGCAAGTAAAGAAGTCTCTGCAAAGCGAAAAAATAAACCAAAGAAAAACAGAGGTGGGAAAGAGGGGGAAAAACATACAGAACCTAGAAAGCTAGATCCAACCAGAATAAATTTGGGATAGGAGCTTTTAACAAAGGCTATCAGTCACAGAAGGCACCCTGAAAGAGGCGGCTTTGGGTAGCGTGCATTCATCCTTATTCAAGCGAGTTTTCTTCTTTTGGTTATTCCTGCACTTGTGTGAGCAGCAAGCCCTACAGCAGACACCTCCACAGCAAGTGCCAAGCAGGCTCCAACCAGGAGTAGTGGCAGCGGCTTACTGGTCTCAAGGGGACATTTTGCTTTTGCTTCTCCATCTTCAGATGCCTTTGTAAGCAATTAAATCTCAAGAATGAAACATTAGTGATTTTTCTTGCCATAAAAAACAAAGTTTCCCTTTCCACTAAACATTAATTACAATCAAAG